ATAAGTTTTGGATCCCTTGGAAGATGTGTCCATGCCGGCCTTTTGCAAACGCCGCATGGAAATCAGGTTGGCTGCTAGGTTGGGCACCGAAGCCGATGTAACATGCTTCACCGGCGACGGTTCGAGTTCGGTGAGCAAGTTCGCACGAGGTGTCATGCTATAGGTGGCACCGCTATCGATCACCCAAAAGTCCAGAGAGTGAAGGGTGACCTTTTCCATAGTAGCTAGCTCCTCAAAGCCTTCCACACCTCCTGCTGCAGCTGCCGCTTGCGTGGAGACAAAGAAGAATTCGCCCGGGTATCGATCTTCACTCGAGTCCTTGTCGTAGTCTCCGCCTTTCATGCTTGCCGCTTCGCTTCCACGACCACCACGGCCTCCACGACCTCTGCCTCTTCCTTCCCTTGCTCCTCTGCCCTCTTGGCCTTGAGAAGGGGTCCATCCATCAGGCAATCTGTAGCAATCTCTCCACATGTGGCTGGTCTTGTGGCAAAATTGGCATTCGGCATCAAATCGACCGCGCCCACGCCCGTAGCCATTATTGTTGTTGTTGCTGCCATATCCTCCATTACCACGGCCTCCATTGAAGTTACTGCTGCCAAATCCGCCTCCTCGCCCTCTGCCCCTTCCACGGCCATGCCCACGGCCCATGCTTGCAACTCCGGCACCATCGGGACCCGCCAATTCGCGACGGCGGAAATCTTCTTGTTTCTTTCCTGCTTTACATCTTCGAGCGGAAGGCGAGGCAGATCTCGATTTAGGCTGATGATGAGTGAGGACCATGAGTCCAGAAGTAAGGCCAGCAGCTTGGTCTTCTTTTGAAGTTCACTATAGTCCAGGTCAGCTCCTTCGAGCCGTGTCAACAAGTCGAAGAATTTTTGCACTCCTTCCTCCACCGGTTCACTTTCGTCTATTCGAAGTGCCGCCATTTGCCGCTCCAAAACAACAGCCACCACCGCTATTGCAGGAGCGTGTACACCCTTGAGAGCAGCCCATGCCTTTGGTCCCTTTGCTGGTTCACGCTGAAAAGGCTTTATGTGACGGATTTGGCTGCTCCCCAACGCTTGCCCAAGTAGAAGATAGCCTTGTGCGCTCTTTCGCACTCACGGGCTCTTCTTCGGGTCGTTCTCGGGGCGCTTCTCCATTCCTTCCATCACCTCCAGCAGATCATAGTGGTCAAAGATGTTCTCCATCTTGAAGGACCACTCAGCAAAATTGTCGCTGTTGAACTTGTCAAGGACAAACACTCTAGGCTCATCCCTAGAGGGGCCAAAGCTAGGTTGCACCGGAGCAATGGGTGGATCTTGGTGTTAGCCTTGTACTTGGGCATCTTCTCTGCCTCCAAAACCTCTGCCACCCCCTTCCCCAGATCTAGTCATGGTCTAAATGGCTCCAAGGGGCTCTGATACCACTTGTTATAATCACAATAGGCTTAGATGTGCCTAAAATGAGAGATAGAGATCACAGCCTGATTTACGTCAGACGGCTTCAAATATTGATAACGATCTGTTCGCTTAATTAAACGGTGATTTATAAAATAGATCTGGAGCGCATTGCTGTTGCCTATCAGCAGCAAGTTGAATCATGAAACTCCATGAAGATTTGACGACGATATGGCGGTTTGACTGGCAAGAGGTATAGCAGCCACTATATTCTTAGAAGTACAACCTTAGCAAGAAGAATCGAGATTGAGATGGTTCTCAGCCTCTACAAGCCCCAAGAGCCGAGGTCCAGGGTAGTGGTACACCACCATAGAGTCCCCATCCATGAAGAGACTCGAAACAAACTCAACAAGGGGCTGGACCAAGTGACATGTAACACTACATGAAGTAGCATTACTATTTTCACTATTTTGATATTTATCCACTTCCCTTGGGCTTGAAATCTTGAGCTCTTGGTCTTGATTCTGCAAGATAAATTCTTCTTGAGTTGATGAGGGCTTGCTGCACACACCTGCGACGCCATGGACACTCGAAAAAATAGAAAAACACATGCGACACGCAAACGACGACTTGACATGCGAGTTGTGAAAACTCGCTAATGTCTTGACCGAGACAAACCACATTGTGATACACCATTCAAACACACACACAAGCACTAGATAGCAATGACATAGACCCACAAGTCATTCCAAGCCATGCATGCACACACACAAACAAGGACGACAAGCCGAGTGCAAGTCATAGGGTTGCACCAACAAGGACCATGACGATTACTCAATTGGTTCCGCATGTTGGAACGTCGTTGGGGGCCTCACTCAATTGGCCTATTCGTGAACGTGCACAACAGCCAACTGCCACAGTTTTGTGCTAGAATACCGCAGTCCCGCACAAATGCAATCGATGTGTTCTCCATTTCTTGGACAAGCGATAGAGGCTTCACCTTCCTGCCCCCCAACCTGATCCCTGCCACTCTCCATCATGCACAGCGGACGCAAAGCACCCTGATGCTGAACGTTCCCGAGTGGCCTGGGGCATCTTGGTGGCCCCTGCTTCAACCAGCCCCTCAAACATGGGCTCATGAAGACGTGGCACACCTTTCCATCAACCAAGGAAACCAATGCCTTCGCCCAGGCACCCACGCGGCAACATTCTCAGGCCTAGGATTGCCCCATAGCCCTATTATTGCATTGCAAATCAAATACGATATATAATTAACAAAATAACGTAGATATTTTCAAGCATATTGCCCAAGCTCCAGCAACAATTATTGCATGTCATCACCAACGTCCGTGCTCCTTCTACAATCCAGACATACTAACCATACTGGCTGAAAATTCGCTCATTCTGCTCCTCATTCAGCTGGACTTCCTGCCTGCTTCGGATATGATGCTTGCCCTCGATCTCATCCATGCGCTCAATCATTATGCCACCATCTCGGCAATCACCCTCACCTGTTCGGCTGTGGCCTTCACCCATCACATGACTGGGGAACCCTCGCCCACGGGTGGTCCCTTCACCTTGCAAGTCCGAGAGCCCGCCAAACGGCATGGGCCCCACCCCGCCCAAACAAAGGAACCCTTGTTGCTTCACCAGGTGCACAACGTGGCTCGCCCATTTCTCGAATCAGCAAGCCCCGCTATATACCAGAAAGGCCTCATTCCGCTTCTCATGTTCGCGTCATTTCTCCATTATTCGGACCTGGTCAGCCTCCAATGGAATGACATCCAGTTCGAGGACGAAGCCATGTGGCTCCTTATCCCATACTCAAAGGACAGATAAAGAAGGCAAGGGGACGTGGATCCCGGTCGCAGCTACACCGGGACCCTTCTGTCCCGTCCGGTGTACCCGACGCTTTCTCGACCTCGTCGACTTCACCGGATTGCCCGTCGAGCCGCTTATTCGAGTCTTCGACAGAGGCGCCAAAGCGACGCCCTAAGACAGCTCACCCGCGTACACCACCATCCGCAACTGGTGCCTCGAGGCCTTCATTGCAGCAGGCCTCAACGTCACCCACCTCGGCACCAACTCCTTCCGTAAAGGTGCCGCCACCGCCGCAGCCGCGCTCGGTGTTCCCGGTCTTCTCTTCAAACGCATGGGCCGTTGGTGTAGTGATACCGCGAAGGATCTCTATGTCACGATTGCACAAGACCAGCTCCTCGCCGTCTCCACCCAGCTCCAGGACCCTGCAGCGGCCCCTTCGCCTGCCGGGCACCAGCGATCCATTAAGCGACACCGTCGAACCCGCATGCACATGCCTCGGCAGGCCCATCTGGAATGAAGCACGCTACCTTTGCAAGATGGCCTAAGCAAGCGTTCACAATATGATAATTTTTTGAAGTGTTACCCACTCTATAAAATTGTGTCTAGTGAAATTGAAGACGTGACCAACTCAGCAAAGGTAACGATGAAGCACTACTCACCCTCTTTGCCTACAAAAGAGGGACGTGAGGCCATTTGGCCTCACCCACATTCTTCATTTCTAGTTTGTAGTTTGATTACTCCCACCCCCCCACCCTTGTCAGTTGTAGTATCCCATGTTTGCATGTAATGGACGAGAACTATGTACTACCCATCTGGAATGAAGCACGCTGCCTTTGCAAGATGGCCTAAGCAAGCTTTCACAATGCCACATGCATAAACTTGGAGGGGCAGGTGCAGATGACGCAAGCAGCGATGCTAACAGTGGGGGGTGACAAAAGGAGTGTACACACGCTTGATTCCATGCTCTCTTCATCTCTTTTGCCTCTCCTCCTCTTTCCAACTTTTGTCACCCCACCCTGCGAGTAGCCACATATGTGAACACGGAGGGGCAGGTGCAGATGACACAAGCAGCCGTGGCAATGGTGTGGAGTGCGAGGGACGGCTGGAAGATCGTGCAAGCCGTGTCTGATGTAGCGGGTGTGACTCTGCCCTATGACACCATGGGGCAAGTTATGGAGAGGCTTCGAGAGGTACCGATGGTAGGGGGAAGGGGAAAGGTAGTAGGGGGGTGGAGAACGATCGTCTGAGGGGATTGTGAGGTGCGGGGGACGATTGGAAGATCGTGCGAGACGTGTCTGAAGTGGTGGGAGCTATTATGCCGCATAACACCGTGGAGTGGAGCAAGTAAGGGAAAGGCTGAAAGAGGTAGGGAGAGGTGCGTGCAAAGGCTTGAAACAAGCAAGGGGGAGGCATAGGGGAGTGGTGGAATTTTAAGGGCTAAGTGGCTTGCACACTTTGGCCTATGATATTGTAAGCCACTTGGCTGGAGTGGGTTTTCCCTATGATTCTGGCTTCCATCAGCTCGCCCCTCATCTTTACATACTGTAAGCTCGCTAGTTTTGAGTTGTCTTTCCTACTTGTTTAAGCCCACTCATGTTACTACGATCACTAGAAGATGTCTGAGGATCTGGCTTCCGTCACCTCGCCCCGCATCTTTGCCCGTATTGCCAAGGCATGCCATAAGATGGGACCTCATTTTGTTTTTATTTTTTGTTTGTTTTTTTTTTGTTTTTTGTTTTTGTTTTTATGCATGTGTGTGTGTGTGTGCGTGTGTGTGTGTGTATGTGTGTGTGTGTGTGTTTTTTTTTTTTTTTTTTTTTTTTTTTTTTTTTTTTTTTTTTTTTCAGACGTTGCATATTTTGAATGTGATTGTTGCGTATCTTCTGAAGCCCTTGCCCATTTTGGTTTAGCTAGAACTCTAGTGGAAATTGTAGTAGTAATTATATATATATTGTAATGCTATATCTCAAAGATGCATTTGCTACACCTAAGCATCGAAATGAAAGAGCTGCTGAAACGACCCATTGGGAAAGCCGATGCTTGATTTGTGCCCAATTGGTATACCACTCCCATGTTCAAAATGTGTTTGTCTTGGTGTTCAAAAAGTATTCTGTAATAGTGTTGAAAAAGTCGAAACACGTTGTGCCCAAAAAATATCCTTGGTCAAGTTTGGAATTTGTGTTCAACTGGTGTTCAATTCTCAACTTTTTGCACAGAGTTGAGACATGGGATTTTTCTGATGTCCTTATTTGTCTTCCCCATATGCCCGGCTTCTATTCGACCCTTGTCATCTCACGAGCATCAGCCACCTTCCCACTCTCCCCCCCACAATGCTACATTCCATATCCCCCTCTGCTTTGTCTTGGCACTGGGATAGCCCTGTCGAACCTCCTCTCTCTCCAGGGAGGGTACTAGGGACGATTTCCCTGGGGAAGGTGGATATATGGAGCCTAACTCTCCTGAGGACATCCCTTCTTGTCCCAGTGGTTAGGACTGATGACTTTATGGCACGCTTCCCCTCCTCCCTTCACTAGGTGCAAAATTTCTACATGATAGGCACCATCTGTCAAGCATCACTGGCCATGGCCAAGTGCAGCTTCCATCCCTTGCTCCTGTACTCAATTCCCCCTTCATATGAACCCCTCTTTCCCCCTCCTCTCCCATTCTGTTCATTCCAGGTGCCCAATTTCTACATGAGAGGTGCCATTCGCAGGCATTAGTCACCATGGTCAAGTGCACCACTCCTAGGGCCAAGCAGGCAGTGCAACCCCTGTACTCAACAAGGCACGAATGCATCAACGGGCATGCGCTCGCATGAGCTTGCGCGAGCAGGCAGTGCATCTGCTTCAGTCAAGGGCGGAATACCTGGATTTGGTTGCAAAGCACACCACCCATGTTCAATGTTGTTGAGTATGGGTTCCCCCGCAGCAGCAGCAGTAAGGTTGGATGGGGTGGGGAGGGGCGGATGCGGGGACAACAAATGGGCTAGGAGGATATGGCAAAGGGGGCACAAGGGGTATGGGAGGAGTGGGAGGAGTGGGAGGTGCGGGCAGAATGGGAGGGATAAGAGGAGCAGGGGGAATGAATGGGGTGAACGACGAGGATGAGGACGCGTATGGAGGGGCAGGGGGGGTCGCTGGGTCCAGAGGTGGTGCTGCTGCTGGCAGGTCGTTTGGGGGAGGCATGGGTGCTGCTGCTGCTGCTGCTGTTGGTAGGGAAACTGGGGTAGGTAGAGCTGGGGTAGGTGGGGCTGGGGCGTTTTTGGCAGGGCCCGGAACAGTGCCAATAACTTTGGTGGGGGATTCCAAGGAGGGGTGGCAGGTGGGCTGGGAGGTGGGCTGGGAGAAGGGCCGGGAGAAGAGATGGATGTAGATGGCGATGACGATATGGGCATGGCCACCAACGCTGAAGGGGGCTCATTCGGTGGAGGTGGAATGGGTGCCGGTGGGGGTGGGCTCCCTGCAAGAGGGAGAAGCAGGCTAGGCGCCACAAGTACTGGATTTGGGGGCATGGGAGGCATGGGAGGCAGTACTACTGGTGCTGCTGGGTCTGGTTTTGGTGCTGGTGTTGGTGCAGGAATGGGTGGTGGGATGGAGGGAGGGGCGAACACAGACGAGGTCTATGGGCAAGGGAAACGCGCTGGAAGAGTGATACAGGGGGCAGCAGGGGCAGTGACCAGAGGGGCGTCCAGAGGTGCTGCAGGGGCAGCTGCAGGGAGAATGGGCGGTGGGGGGATGGGGGGAGCGGGGATGGGCGGTGGCGAGATGGGGGGAGCGGGGATGGGTGGAGGTTTGGGCAGTGGGGGATTGGGGGGGGCAGATGCTTTGGGTGGTGTGGATGACCAGGAGGGGCCAGGGCTGGGGACGGCAGTCATCGGTGGGGTGAGGGGCGGAAGGATTAATTCTGAAGCATCAATGGCAGGAGGTAGGGCCATGGGGATGGGCTTGGGTGATAGTATGGGTGGTGGCATGGGTGGCATGGGTGGTGTGGGTGGTGCTGCTGGGGGTCGTCTGGGAGGGAGAGCGGGAAGCACCTGGCAGCAGCAGCAGCAGAGGGGGTAGGCAGGAGCAGCAGGAGGAGCAGGAGCAGGAGGGTTGTTTGGAGGGAGGGCAGGGCAGCAGCAGCAAGGACTTGGCATGGAGGGCAATGATGACTACGCTGCCGCTGGTGCTGCCGCTGGTGCCGCTGCTGGTGCTGGTGGCGCTGGTGGCACTGATGGTGCTGCAAACGACTACAATGATGGCGCAGCAGACGACATTGCGGCAGGCCTTGCTGGTAGCAGCAGCAGCAGTGCTAATGGTCTATTCGGGACAAGGAGCAGTAGCCGCAGCTTTGGCAGCACCAATGGCTTTGGCACCGGCACCACAAGCAGCAGCAGGCTTGGTAAGGTCACCGGAGCAGCAGCAGCAACAGACCCTTATGGCGAGGACGAGGGCTCAAGCGGAGCGACATCAGGGGGTGCCACGTCCGGCATGGGAGGCATGGAGAATGTGGATGATTTGGATGGTGAATCGACGGGTGCAGCAGGGGGGAGCGCAGGGCTAGGCAGGGACGAGGCGGGGCTGGGCAGCGGCGATGTAGAGAGTGAGGGGGTGGGGGATGAGATGGATGAGGATGGGGGGATGGGGTCTGGGAAGGCCGTGGTTGGATCCAAGGCAGGGAAGGGCGAGGCGGGGAGCAGCTCTTCTTTCTCCTCTGGCAGTGGTGGTGGTGGCCTGTTTGGCTTTGTCTCTCGCATGTTCGGTGGTGGTGGCAGCAGCAGCATTGCTAGTTTGCCCCACTTTGTCATGTAATATTTATTTCAAGCTAACGTAATCACCAGTATAGACGCCCCTCCGTAGGACTAGTCCCATGGGCTCTAACTCGTGCATTGGGACTTATAAGCATTATTCGATTATAGGCCCCCCTTCATTTCTCTAAACCTGTTTCCTATATAAGCCCCCCCCGTAATTTCTCTTGAAACACTGTGCAAAAAGTTGAAGCGGATCCAGGTAATACCGAGGTCTCGCTTCGTTCCGGCCAGAAGCGGAACTTACCCTCTCTAACACTTCGCGCCAGCACGATTTGTGTCAGAACGGCGAGTTTCTAGCCTAGCAACTTGCCGACTGGATTTCCAGCGCGATTGACTTATGAAGCCTCGCTAAAATTTATCCCATTGCACAAGTCAGACCAGTAGGTACGTTTTAATGTCAAATGTAAACTTTCCATATAATCCCATGGGCGTATATTTTTTATTCATTTAATCGCCCCCCCACATTTTCAAACCAGTCTCGTACACGCCCCTAGGGGTGAAGCCAACGACTCTATTGCATTTATTGCCTTCATCAGTGAGTGTTTCGCCTCCCGCCACTGACAAGAAATGAGTTGTCGAGGAGGAGGCTGGCAGGTTTTTCCCCATCTTTCCCCTTGCCTCTCCGCTTCACTTTCCGCTTCCCCCTCCGCTTCCGCCACTTTGGCCCGCCATCCCTTCCGCCATCATTTAGGGTTGCTTGAAGCATCTTATTTTCCGTTGGGGTGGTAGTTAGTCGCTCCTTACCCATTCCCACCTTTCCGCTGCGTTTCCTGCAGCCGCGTTTGGGCGTCAGGCGTCAAGGGCTGCAGTTTTTGCGCTGCGTTCCCTTGCACTCTAATCGCAGTCACGCTGCGCATTCCGCACCCTCCGCACGTCTCTTCCGCCCCCGTTCCCCGGCATACAAGACACTCGCATTCCAAACGCCAAGCACCCATCCGCGGTATTAGATCACGTTCGTCCTCCATACGTCTTTAACCATGTATCGCGTCGCCAAGGCATCCTCCGCTCGCCGCGCCTCCCAGCTCCTGTCCCGCTCCCTCTCCCACTCCCCCCGATCAGCCACGTCAACCGCCCATTCCGTGCCATCCCTCCGCCTTTCCGCCGATGGTTCCCCCTCCGCTCCGCTGTCCCTCCTCCGCACGATCACCTCCGCCGCGTCCCTGCTGAAGCCCACGCCTTCCCCCACCGCGTCCGCGGGAGCCCCCGCGGCCGCTGCGCAGCCAGCGGCAGAACCCGCTGCTCCGCCGCCTCCCCCGCCGGATCACATCGAGGTGTTCGTCGATGGGAAAGGATTGTACGTTCCCAAGGGATCGACGGTGCTGCAGGTGAGAGACAGACCTTTCAGACGGCGTTAGAGTCGACTAGGAAAGGCATCTCCGCCGCCTCATCCTCCTCTCTCAACGCCGGATCACATCGAGAGCTCGTCGATGGGAAAGGGCTGCACTTTCCCAAGGGCTCGATGGTGCTGCAGGTGAGAGGTGAGAGCTTGGCGGTTCAGGTGACTTTGAATTCAATTCTCAGTCGGCTTTGAAATCTGTCGGACGGTGCGTCCCCTCTCTGAATCACATCGACGTCGTGGTCGGCCATATAGAATCCGAATTCGACATGCTTCGATCCGGATTTTGGCGGATCAAGCTTCGATCAGGTGTGTTTTGAAGTAGGTAGGATCACTCAAAGCGCGCCGCCGGGAGTCATCCAGGTGTTTGTCGACCGCATAGAACCGAATCCGACATGCTTCGATCACTGAAAAGCGAGTTTGTTTTTTCAAAGCTTAGTGAACTGACATGGCGGTACTCGTTCTGGAGAAGAGCGCTTGCATTGGACATCAGAAGTCCCTTTTCTTTGGTTTTTTAAGACACCAGAAGTCCTTTTTCTATTTATTTATTTAAACGATGATTGGACTTGTCCACTCCCTTCCCTCCCTTCCTAAAGGCGTGTGACGGAGCGGGCATTGACATCCCCCGCTTCTGCTACCACCCGCGCCTCTCCATCGCCGGCAACTGCCGCATGTGCCTTGTGGAGATCGAGAAGGCGCCCAGACCCCTCTCGCCTTGCCTCCCTTTCCCGTCCACCCCTCTCCCTCCTCTCCCTCCTCTCCCTCCTCTCCCTCCTCTCCCTCCTCTCCCTCCTCTCTCCCCTCTCTCTCCTCTCCCTCCTCTCCCTCCTCTCCCTCCTCTCTCCCCTCTCTCTCCTCTCTCTCCTCTCCCTCCTCTCCCTCCTCTCCCTCCTCTCTCCCCTCTCTCTCCTCTCTCTCCTCTCCCTCCTCTCTCCCCTCTCTCTCCTCTCCCTACAGGCCTGCGACGCGGCCGGCATTGACATCCCCCGCTTCTGCTACCACCCGCGCCTCTCCATCGCGGGCAACTGCCGCATGTGCCTTGTGGAGATCGAGAAAGCGCCCAAGCCAGTCGCCTCGTGTGCAATGCCCGCCATGCCGGGAATGAAGGTCAAAACCACCACGCCGCTCGTGAAGAAAGCCCGCGAGGGGGTTATGGAGTTTCTCCTCCTGAACCACCCCCTGGACTGCCCCATTTGTGACCAAGGCGGCGAGTGCGACCTCCAGGACCAGTCCATGGAGTTTGGGAGCGATCGGGGGCGGTTCTACGGGTTCAAGAGGAGTGTGGAGGACAAGAACTTCGGTCCGCTGGTGAAGACGGTGATGACGCGCTGCATCCACTGCACCCGGTGCGTGCGCTTCGCGAAGGAGGTGGCCGGAGTGGAGGACCTTGGGGTTACTGGCAGGGGCAGGGACTCGGAAATCGGGACGTATGTGGAGCGGATGCTGACCAGCGAGCTGTCTGGGAACGTGATCGACCTGTGTCCCGTGGGGGCGCTGACCTCCAAGCCGTTTGCATTCACGGCGCGCACGTGGGAGCTCAAGGCAACAGAGTCTGTGGACGTGTCGGACGCGGTCGGGGCGGCTATCCGCGTGGATAGCCGGGGGGGCGAGGTGATGCGGATTCTCCCGAGGCTGAATGAGGGGGTGAATGAGGAATGGCTGACTGATAAGGGCAGGTTTGCCTATGACGGGCTTAAGCGTCAGCGCCTCTTTGCCCCCATGGTGAGGAGTCAGATCACCGGCCAATTGGAGGTCGCCAGCTGGCCGGAAGCCCTGGAGGCGGCGGCTAAGGCGCTGGTGGGAGTTAAGGGGGAGGAGGTGCAGGCTGTGGCTGGGCGGTTGGCGGATGCCGAGGCGCTAGTGGCTCTTAAAGACCTAATGAATAGGCTCGGGTGCGATAATCTCCGTGCGGACGATGGTGATTGGGCGGCGCCGGCGGCTGGAGACGTGGGAGGGGTTGTGGACGCGGACCTGCGCTCGTCCTACGTGGCAAACACGGGATTGGCCGGCCTGGAGGACGCTGACGTGGCGCTGCTGATCGGGACGGATCCGCGGAGCGAAGCACCGCTCCTTAACCTCCGCCTGCGGAAGGCTGTGATTGGCCGGCGGGCCAAGGTGGCGAGCGTGGGACCGCCCCTGGATCTGACCTTTCCCAGTGAGGGTCTAGGGCAGGGAGCGGATGTGGTGGTGGGGATTGCGGAGGGGAGGCACCCGTTCTGTGGGGCGCTGGCGCGGGCGAAGCGGCCGGCGGTGGTGGTGGGCGCTGGGGTGATGAGGCGGGCGGACAGGGAGACCGTGATGGCTGCTGTGCAGACGATTGTTGAGAATGTGAGTCTAACGAGAGTGGGGGAAGAGGGGGGGGAGTGGTGGTGGTGGTGGGCGCTGGGGTGATACGGCGAGCGGACAGGTAGACGGTGCTGTCTGCTGTGCAGACGATGTGCATGGAATGTGAGTGCATTGAGCGTGCGAGGGAGGGCTGTGTAGTTTTGAGACGCCTCAAATCTAGACTCCTATGGGGCGGGCGGACAGGTAGACGGTGCTGGCTGCTGTGCAGACGATGCGCATTGAATGTGAGTGCATTGAGCGTGCGAGCGGGGGTTGTGTAAGGGTGTGTGAGAATGTGAGGGAGGGCGGTGGGTGTATTTGTGAGCCGAGGGTGGGGACAGGGAGTGAGGACGGGGAGTGGGAATGAGGGTGGGGGGATTCTGAATGTGAGAATGGAGGGAGGGTGATGGGTAGATTTGTGAATGGGTAGTTTTGGGAAGAGAATGGAGGGGAGAGAGAGGGGTGTGTGACGGTGTGAGGATGTGGGAAGGGGTTGGGGGAGTGGTGAGGGACGGGTGGAACGGCTTCAATCTCCTCTACCTCACAGCTGTCCTCTCCTGTCCTCTCTCTTGTGCTTGCTTCCCCTTACAACTGTTCCTCTGCCCCTTTGAACTGTTCCTCTGCCCCTCACAACTGTTCCTCTGCCCCTCACAACTGTTCCTCTGCCCCTCACAACTGTTCCTCTGTCCCTCACAACTGTTCCTCTGCCCCTCACAACTGTTCCTCTGCCCCTCACAACTGTTCCTCTGCCCCTCACAACTGTTCCTCTGCCCCTCGCGCCTGCTTGCTGTCTCGCGCCATGCTTTCAGGCTGGAATGGTGATGGAGGGTTGGGATCGGTCACAACCTCCTGCACTTCACGCGTGTTCCTCTCTCCCTCGCACCGACTTGCTCTGCCCCTCACACTGCTTGCTGCCCCGTGTCCTGATTTCAGGCTGGAGTGGTGAAGGATGGGTGGAACGGCTACAATCTCCTCCACTTCACGGCTTTTCCTCTTTCCCTCCTGCAATGCCTGCTGCCCTGTGCCATGCTGTCAGGCTGGAGTGGTGAAGGACGGGTGGAACGGCTACAATCTCCTCCACTTCACGGCTTTTCCTCTTTCCCTCCTGCAATGCCTGCTGCCCTGTGCCATGCTGTCAGGCTGGAGTGGTGAAGGACGGGTGGAACGGCTACAATCTCCTCCACTTCACGGCTTTTCCTCTTTCCCTCCTGCAATGCCTGCTGCCCTGTGCCATGCTGTCAGGCTGGAGTGGTGAAGGACGGGTGGAACGGCTACAACCTCCTGCACCTCACGGCTGGCCGAGTTGCGGCTCTGGATGTCGGCTTCGTGCCCAGTGCTGAGGCCACCCTCTCCAGGTGACACCCCCTTGTCCTCCCCTTTTCCTGCCCCTTTCCTCCCCTTTTCCTGCCCCTTTTCCTGCCCCTTTCCTCCCCTTCTCCTCCCCTT